TTGATTTTTAGCAAGGTGGCCTTTACCAATGATTAGCTGCAGTGTTGGCAGCTTAGTGTCCCATTATATTCAAAACAAATTCAGAGTAGATACTGTCCTTTTAAAAGTGAGCTTTAACAAATTTAGCTTTATACATATTTATTTATCATTGTCACTTTTAGTCTCCACTCTGATGATTCTCCTCTGCACTAAAGCAGCATCTACAATTATGTGTAGCACATGCACTTTGGGTGCATTAAGTTTCAGCTTTAGGTTTAGTTAGTTGTTACTTTCCTTGTATGTACTTAAGAATTAACAACTCCACTAGTTAGTCTAAAAAGTTCAACTAATTAGAGAGAACACCATCATACAGGCTACTAGTTCACACTCTTTAAAAGTGAATATTGTTGCTGAGTGAAGGAGACTCACTGGGCTTTTAGCACCAGAGATAAAAATAGATGTAGATAAAAATTTAAACTGTATTATTAATGCCATATAAAGAGAGGGAGAGAACAAACCTTTCTTAGATAACAGGAAGGCTCAACAGAATACATTAGAGTTGGTCGTTTTTCCTCTAAGCTTTCAAGTTTTTTTTTTTTTTTTGCTTTTAAATCATGGCAGATTTGGAAATGTTGGCATGACATCAGCCTTGAGATAATTTTATCTTTGTTGTAAAACATCACATGATGTTACAATTGCCTGAATATAGACATTTATAAATCAACACAACAGGAAAACTTAAAAAAGAATACAACAATAAAACACAGCAAAATATTGTCCCTTTGTCAGCATATTTTTCAGCACTAATTGAATTTGGTTAATATTGTGTTGGCAGTTCAAAGGTTAAGAAGAACTAAATGGTAGCGATAAAATTCAGATCTATGTGGCTTTATTCAAAGATATTTTTAAACATAGAGATATTACTTTTAATTTATTATTATTAATAAAATTGAATGAGGTGTGAAAAGCTTTTGGGTCCGTGTACTTAATAAAGAACAACTTTCCTATTAAGAGTTGTAAAGTGGATGCAGCAACCTCCATATTGCCATTGCTCTAACTTATGTTTATTAAACAAACATTTACTTAAACTGAGATGGAGCAAAATGTATTATCTGTTCTGTATCATGAGAACCAAAACAATCTGATCAAGCCTTAAACCCTACATGTATAAACAGCTGACAGATCAGACAAATTAGGGGGAACTAAACGCAGTCTACTTGTCGCCTTAGATTAAGGAATAAAAACCAGGTTGTTCTGTGGTTTACTTTTTGCACTTTGATGACAGATTTCATTTAGAGATGGTCTTCTCCATGGTTTCTGGGGTCAATGTGTGGACGGAAGGATAGTGGCAAAAACGTAAAGGAGATTGTGAGATAAGGCAACATCTCAATAAAAGCATTGTCAATTCATGATGAAGTTGAACAGATTTTATAAATCAATAACAGACAAATTCTTCTTTTAGCAAATTCCTAGGTAAGACAAAAAAAGAAACTAATAAAAAAACATCTGAATATTGATGATTTGTGTTTGCTTTCTTTTTTCACCCTTAAATAAGTTTTACTTCTTCCTACTCCCTCTTTGTTGTGTCTTACATATATTGTATTATATATACATATATATATGTAGCTATACATATATCTATATATATATAGATATATATATATAGCTATACATATATATATATATATATATATATATATATATATATATATATATATATATATATATATATATATATATATATATATATATATGTATATATATGTAGCTATACATATATCTATATATATATAGATATATATATATAGCTATACATATATATATATATATACATATATATATAGATATATATACATATATATATATGTATATATAGATATATATACATATATATATATATATATATATATATATATATATATATATATATATATATATATATATATATGGATTTATATATTTTTTTCTTCTGTCCTTTAATTGCATTGTATTATCTTCTTATTTTTATTGTTGGTGGATTACTATATTTGTGTTAACTTTTATGAATCTTTGAAATAATAAAAATAATTTAAAAAAAGAAATTAAACCTTAAAGTTAAATCATCAAACTGGGCGTCTCAACCATATTTTAGCTGAGCACGTTCTAAAATTTTATTTGCATTTCATCCTGAAAGATTTACCCAGTTTTTTTTTGTTTTGTTTTGTTTTGTTTTTTTATTTTCTGGGCATTTATTTGTTTCACACGTTTAACAAACGTAGAAAAAAGCAAAACCAACGTTACTCCTATTAAAACCTGAAGAATGACACTGCTCTCTAGTGTCGACACAAAGTATTGCAACCAAAGAATCAAAGCAGCGCTTTTAAGTATACAGATAAAGAACTTCCTATGTCCACAAATATGTATTTAAAAAAAAAACGAATAATAAGATAAATTAAGTGTTTAAGCTTTTTAGCCAGTCATTCCAGTTCAAATTATGCACATAATACCAGTGAAACTAAATCTTTCAGGACATTTTGTCTATGGATAATCTGATAACGGTCCTTTTTTATCTGATGCATGTGGTTATAGTTCATTTTTGCTTGCTTAATAACTTTCTCTCTCTAATGGAGGCTGCTATAATAGAAAAAATAACCTCTGTGACAGCATCTTTGAATTACCAGGCTCCTGTTGCATATGTCTATTCAGCTTTGCAACAGCCTGATTACTGTTACATGCACACGTATTCACTTTATGGAAAAGGATCACTTAAAACAAAAGAGTTAGTTAAATCACAACAGTTTTATATGTTGTTCATATATCAGCAGGACACTACTGGGAATGTTTTTAAATATCTTTTTTTAACCTGAAATAGAATATATACATTTGTTTTTGTTAATTTTTTAATGTAAAATCACTTTTCTGATTTGTTAAAAAAATATTATTGATACTGAGAAGAGTACTTTCCTCAATACATTAGCACTAATGACATAAAAGTGAGCATCATCAGCTGATGATGCATACCAATTTACACTCTCATGTTGTTTAAACCTCTCAAACATTATAAGAACAGTCAACAAACTATAAGTCTCACTTTTAAAAAGAGCTTTCTTCAAATGCGATTTTGATTTTTGCACACCCTTTAAGGTAAGGTCACTGCTAGAGAAGTTGGCAGTTTACATGTTGCTACATCTCAGGAAAAAGATGGAAAGTTTGGTGGAAGGAAAAGCAGGTCAAATTGAAGTATTGTGGAGCTTCATGTGTTATTGACTGCAAATTAAATGTTTTAGGAAGAATTTCAAACAAAGATGTTTGATTTAGTTTAATTCTATGATCATGGTATTACTCTGAATGGCAGGGCCCCACCTAAACAATGGGAATCTATACAATATTGTTAAGAGGAACATGACAGACATCAGAACTAAATGTTCTAAAGGGGGAGTAACAGCCTTCTGGTTAGGGCATAGAGCTTGAAATCCACTCAGGGGTGCAACACTGGGTCCCTGAGTAAGACCCTTAACCCCACACTGCTCCCTGGAGCCCCACGATGGCAGCCCGCTGCTTCCCAAGGGAATGGGTTAAATGCAGAGGTAAATTTCTCCACTGTTAAATCGATAAAGTTCAATTATTTATTTATCATTATTGTTGAATTAAAGTACAAGTACAGTGTAAGCTGCTATCAAAGCATTATGAGCTTTTTTAACTCCTCAGCAGTGAGAGGCTGATCACCTCCATGACACAAACTTCTGCAAAAAAAATAAATCTTTTTTTTGTCTTGGAAAAAAAAAACTGAAGTCCTAAAATATATGCATTTTGTCTAATATTCATATTTACTGAAATACACCTGGGTATTTAGCTTGAAGTCAGCTGGATAATCAGCGTAATTCAAAGTAATTCCTCCCTTAAATAAGCCCCAATGTGCCACCTCTCAGAGCAGCACGACCTCATGTCTCACCTCAGGTTGCCAAGACATGTCATCCTCTCCCTGCAAACACTAGAAACTTTATTTCTGAGTCCTCATTCACAAGGAAACTAAAAGACTCAAAAAACAGCAGGCAGCCCTGTCTTAAGGGATCACAGAGTTTGGCCTCCTGTGTTTGGGGACAGCATGTGTATAATGATGAGTAAACATGGCGCTCCTGTTGTTGCCCGCAGCTGTCGGGCTCGATGCCAAGTGATGGGCAACATGTTAAGAGGGAAATGTTTGCACGGTTGCTGCTGGTGTTTCTCAGATAACAAATGAGTTTATCCACACAACCTGCAGTTTTATGTAAACTGACCATTTTTATGGCTTCATGTCTATAAAAAACATTGATGCACCCACAGCAGGGATCTTATTAAGGTTCCAAACAGACACTGAGAATATGTTCTTTTTTATTTTTCATATTCACATGACATATAAATAGTATAAATGGACTATTATCAGGCTTACACAGTTTGAAGGTTATATCACCTTATACAAGATGTAATGTGGAACGGTAAGAGAAACTCTGTATTATCATGTGAAGTTTTAGTTAACGGTATCAGTGAGGATTACAGAGCAACGTTTATCTCAATGGCGCTCAGATGGTCACACATTATTCTCCATCCTTATATACAGTGCAGCATCACAAACAGCAGTAAACCTACTGGACACAAATAAGAAGTATTGAAGCACATTTAAACCAGGCAGGAAAAACAAAAGCAAAGCAAAGGTTAAGATTCTCTTTCTGTTGGAAGAGTGATAAGGTGTATCTTAAAGCACAGCAATAAACGTGACAATATCCTGTAATAGAATAAGCAATCACAGGAGCTGCACTGTGTTTCAGGCTACAGTGTGGTAGCCTTGAACAAAAACACACAATAGCATGACATGAAAGAGAAGAAAACACGTAAGCATTTAAGAAACTCAAACATACATCAGGAATGCTTCGTTGGCTCTGACCAGGAATCACAAATTTAAAGCCTGAGAAAAATGTTTTCCATATGTTAATAGAATACGTGAAAAAAAGAATTTACTATTTTCAGTCTATACATTCACTTATTTAGAAAAAAATTATGAAGGTTAGAAACAAATATGTTGCTGCATTAACAATGATATCTCTTTAATCCCTCCTTTGGATTCAAAACTACTATATGATGGAGGCTGAATTTCAAAAGCAGAATTTGTCAGTGTTAAATTCAGCTACTGTGATTTTAAAGAAATCTGAAACTGCTTTGACTAGGATGGACTTTAATTTGAGTATCTATTGGGTTTTCCTATTTCTGATTTGGGCCTGGGACTAATACACTATCCAGTGTCTTTTTTTCCTTTGTTTTGCAGATACTGTAGATGATCCAACTGTGTCCTGTTAGTTGCATCCATCAGTCGGGTAGATACAGGTACATGCTACGTGGAGGAGGATGTGTCCTGAACAGGTAACGCCTGTGTGGAAGAGATCCCTTTGCTTTCAGTGGTCAGACTTGTTTTATCTCCAGCAGCCCTCATGTCACTCATCTCTGAGATCTGCAGCTCCCTGGTCTCATCCTGACATAAGCTCATCCCAGTGCAGTCCCCCTGGTTCGACATGGACTTGTGAGAAGAGCTGGGGGAGTTTGTAGGGCTGAGCTGGATGGCGGTGGTGTCCTGGAGGGTATGTTCACTCATCTCCATCTCGAAAGTTGCAGTTCCCATCCTAATCAGCCCCCAATTCTCCCCTCGGTGGGCCCTTCGAGCCACGTGGGATGGTGGCCTCCTGCTGACCACGCAGCAGGCTGTGAAGAAAGCCACAGCCAACAGTAAGAAGAGAGGCCCGATGATGATGGGAGGGTTGGCTGTAAGGCTGAAGGTGCCAAAAGCAAAAGCTCCCACAAGGGTGATGTTGATGCCAGCCAGCATGATGCACAGGCCGCAGGCGCAGCACATGGCCGGGGAGGGTAGGCTCTGATGCCGCAGGCTGCACCGCTCTGGGATCTTGCTGGGAGCAGATGATCCTAAGTTTTTATCTGATAACACCATGTCTTGATTGGATCAGATGGGACACTCCATCACTACAGATAGAGAATTTTATTAGAGAAGCTTCAGGAAACTTTTAGGCATTTCTAATATTACTTTTTTTTTTTTTTGCTCAATTTGCCATCAAGTTTAAACAGCTTGAAGAAAAAAAAACATTAAAAAAAACAGTAAGCATCATACAACAGCAGTGTCAGAGGCTTCCTGAGACCCAGTATAAGACAGACAGTTACAGAAGATCCTTATCAGCATCAAAACCAACTCTTAAAAACATTTAATTAGCTTTGGCATTTTTAAAGAATGTTTGAAATGAATTTAAAGGCACACAGGTCTGATTCTGCAGGAAAAAAATATAATAATAATAAATCAAACACCTAACATTTGATAGTAGAAGCATTATAACAAAATATTCTTTGTTACCTCTGATAAAACCAGTAATCCTGCTGTGAGTCTCGCAGCGCTTTGTCTCTGCATCCTGTTGCACAGCAGCTGCAGGATGAAAGTGATGTTTCCCTCCAGCAGGTTGAGCTGCTGCAATGTTTAACCATCACCGCTAGGGGCGCTGCAGAGCGAGTAGAACAACCTGTCCAATATGCAAACATCTTTTTCCCTTTTAATGAGAAAAAATGCTTTTATAAAACATGAATCATTAAAGGATGGCAGGTCTTTGATATCACCGCTTTATCAAATATTAAATTTTATCATTGTAAGATGGTGGTTTTTGCAATGAAAAGATAAGGGTTGCTGTATACAAACTTAAATTGTGATTTTCTTTAGCAGCTTTGGTATAAATCCAAACAATGTTTCTGTTTTGCACAAAGTAAACACTTCTTTTATTCCCTCCTACTCATTCTGGCCTTCACTTAGAACAAAAGAGTCTTTGAAAATAAAATATTATTGATGAAGTGTTTCAAATCAGAGCAGCTGAGACAAATGTACAAAATGAGCCAACACCAATTAGAAGATAATATTTCAACATTTTTATTGAGAACACAGCATCCCAATGGAAATGTACTCAGAGCACGAGAGCTTTGTAAATCAGGTTCCACTTTAAAGCTCTGCAGGGCTTCTTAATTGTGTACCCATTACCACATCTCATTTGATGCCTTTACAAGTCGATATGTGGGGTGGGGTGGGGGGGACAGGTTCTTTTTATGATTCATAAAAAAAAAAAAAAAAAGAGCGAGGGTTTTAACATGGCAACTAATCGTTTCCTGATGTTGCCTCTGAGCAAATCTCTCTCAATTTCAGCTTGACAATGAAATCTCTCAGTTGCTAAAGAGATGAGGTGACCATGGCAACAGTGCGAGGTACCACATCAACTCAAGGGGTTAAAAGAAGTTTTGCTGGACACTGAAAATCAGATATGCTCTTGTGAAATAAAAAACAAGTTAAGCAAAAATAACGATAGATTTAAGAAACAAACCTCAACTTTCTCCATCCCATTTTCAATGTTCACATTAACTCAGATAGAAATCTTAAAATACTCATAAAAATAAATCGCTTTGTTTCATTATAGATTATTCTTTTATAATATTAAATGTAACATGAAAATAAATCCCTTTGACTATTTTAAAAGCAAAGATCACAGCTGACGTTAACAAAATGAAAACACTATAAGACAAGGAGAAAATGATAAGGATCATTCTCTGTTATGGAGTTACACTTGAAAAGAAATAAATAATAATGGAAGTATTTTGTCATTCCTTGAATATTTTAAATAAATGCTTTATGTATATTTCCATTACACCATGGAAGCCCATTTCTACAAGCTTAAAGAAAAAAGATATCACAGAAGATGTCTTGTTCACCTGCATGTATGAATTCTGGAATAAAAATGATGGATTTCACATTTATGAAAAGTGAGGCTTTTTTCTAAAGTTAGTAATAAAGTGGTTAATGGAATAAGTTATGATAAAGAGTTATGAGGTAGGGTGTTTCATACATAACTGTACATTGCATCTTGGGTTGTAGTAATAATAAAAATAATAAATTTAATACTAATGAAGATAATTGAAGTAAAAATAGGACAGCATTAAAAGAGCCAAATTACTCAAATTCAATTCATATTTGACTTAAGATATATCTAATCCCAACTGTAAATTTATAAATAATGTGATTAATTATAAGCAGAACTTCTTATCTAATAACTATCCATTAAAAATAAAATGTTACCTCTTCATAACAACTTTAACTCATAGATTCTCGGGATGTTTTTTTCTTTAAAATGGCACAGATGGGCTTCTTTTCCATTTATTTAAAACTGGCTGATTTTAAAGTACGTAAAGTGCTCCAGGTAGCTTGTGTTGCAGAGAAAAGCCTCTTAATTTTTGCACCTGAATTTAGCACCCATGCTGTAATACAATAACACATTATGACTTTAGCAGGTAATATAAAGGAAAGGTGCTGTAAACTCCAACAATCATCCATCTAGATCCTTCATATTTAAATACAAACACCCATCAACATCCAAAAACATCCGTCTGTGTGTGCCTAGAAAAACATCATCCAATTATGGCAGCTTTTAAAAATTAACAACAACAACAAAACAACAAGAAATAATAAAATCTCCCAAAATAAAATTGTTTTGGATGAAGACATTAAAAAAAGTGCACATCTAAAATTCTGTTCTTGATATGTACTAGAATATTACCTGCTGGCACTATTAGAGGTTTGTTTTATACGTTTCAGCTAATAATTACCAATAAATAAATCTGTAAAGTAAAAAAAAAAAATTTTTTTGAAAAGGTAAAACTAAGCCCACACAAGTTTCCACCTAATGCCAGGTCAGCATTTCTATAAGATTCCTGTTAAAAAAAAGAGCCAAAAAAACTCAAATAGGTTAGAAAGGTGAACAAGGAGGATGTTCATGCTGGTGTTTCAGGCTGCGAGGTCATCAGAACCAGGAGCGAAGTCCCCTCTGCGCATAGCATTGGACTGGGCTCGTCTGCGGGCCAGTCTTGACTTGGAAGGAGGGGACAGCCTCATGGAGCAGACGATGGCCCCTGAATCCTCCTGCTGCTCATCATGCTGGGACAGCTGCCGGTTAAAGGCAATGGCTTCTGCTGCAAACTGGGTTAGGTCTTTAGTGCTGCTGTTTCTAAATAAAAAAAAAATTATACATAAATAAAAATGCAATAGCTTTGTTTGAAATCGTGGTAAACTAGTAACAAATGACTTGTAAAGCAAACCTCTGTAGAACACGAGGAGTTGGAAGACCTCTCTCTGGTGCATTCTGTTATAGAAAGAAGAGAGAAATTTACTGACATTCAATCAAAACGTGCTAAAGGTACATAAACAAATAATACTGACCCCTTGGACCCAAGGATGCTGTAACACCTGAGCAGCACTGAGGCGCAGAGTGGAGTCCCGAACCAGCAGCTTGGATATGAGATCCTTGGCTTCTTCTGTGATGTGTGCCCAGTCCTTGTCTGGAAACTCGTACTTGCCCTCCTGGATGCTCTCAAACAGACAGCTCTGAGGAAAACAGAACAATAAGTGCTCATTTTAAGAGAATCAGATGACATTTTAGTCATACACGTACCACCTTCAATTTCAAGTTTTGATAGTAAAGGGGAGTTGAAACAGTTAAAGCTGAAATAATTTGATCTAATATCTATACAATTTCTCCCATTTTAGTTACTGAAATTCATCACCACTAGGAGAAAATGTTTGGAAAATGATGAGTTAAAAATTAAACCTTGCATTTTTTTATACATCTTTTCTTTTTCAGCATTTAAATAACAGTTAATTGTGTTGAATAGAAAAAAGGGAAGAACAAAAAAGAATTGTTTTCATTTCTTCTTATAGCTCACCAATCAGAAAGGATAGCATCTGACAAAAGCACTTAGTGTTTCAAAGGATTCCCAAGCAGATTTATCTGTGGGCTTTAGCTGGGCTATTCTAACAAAAGAGTAAGCTTTAACTTAAACTGGTCCATCAGCTCTGGCTGTGTATCTAATGCACGTCTAAAAATGGGAGCTCTTTGTTCAATGATAGCTTCTTCTTATTCTTCTATAAAGTCCTTTTACTTTACACCAATGGTGGTCGCTTTACAGTTGTAGCCTTTTGATTTTTCACCTCTCCAGATATTTATGTCCTTTTCTTTTCCATTATTAGTTACAATGTACATTGTGTTGGTCTTTCACTCCTAATGAAATACAGTGGGTATTAAATAAAATAAACCACCTATTCACTGTAGGAAGTTCAGAGTGGTATCAAAGGGAAATGAATTACCATGTATGGAGCTGGAACACTGAAGTAAGAATGCACAGACGGGATGTGTAAAGGGAAGCATACCTGGCACGCTCTGCATGCTTCTCCACGGTCCCAGCCACAGTCAGTGCCACAGTGACCCGTGAAGGGGGGGCTTCCACTCAGCAGGATGTAGAGGATGACCCCAAGGCTCCAAAGGTCACAGCGCTTGTCGTAGAAGGAGTCTTCATCCGTGAACGCCTCCACTACTTCTGGAGCCATATACTCAGCCGAGCCACACTAACAATGAGAAAGGTACATGTTAAAAGTCTCACTGGTGTTTTAATCAGAGTTTAGAGTAAAAATATTATGGAGCCGCACTGGTGTGGTGAGCTCTGGCGTAGTTATGGGAGTGCAGGCACTGCTGAGCTTCACTCCACTCCCCAGATCAAAGTCGCAGATTTTTACTGGCGACACCTGAGAGACAACAGGACGCATTTAATACTGCCGTAACAGACATCTACAGGGATAACTGTCTTTTTAAAATCAAAATAAACTCACCCGGTCGGTGTATTCACAGAGGATGTTTTCCAGCTTGAGGTCTCTATGGGCAATGCCTAAGAAACAACATCAGCCAAAAAATATTCTCACCTTTTTAATATTAGACTTTGGTATGATAGTTGGAAATAAGCGTACCCTTTGTGTGTAGAAAGTCCAAAGCTATGGCGATGTCCCTGACTACCTTGCTGGCCTCCAGTTCATTAAAGTGCTTTTGGCTCTGGATGTGTGTAAGAATGGAGCCTGCAGGAACACATCAGGATTACTTGCATCTCTGTTTAAAGCACCTTGTAAAAGTATTTACTCTCATTTTTAACAGGATCAATTTTTTTACATCGTTTACAAATTCAAAAATCGGAGAAGTATGTAACATTTTCATATTAAGTTCCTTTTACCCTTAAACCCCTAAAGGAAAGTAATGGATTATAGAGTCTACCTATGTTCTCAGTATAAATACAGCTGTTCTGAAAAGAGGTTTTGGGAGCATGTTAGATTACACAGCAAAAACGATCTAGAAATAAGTAAAATTTCTTAAATTAAGTATATTTAGCCTTGACTTGAGCAGGTAAATACGATTATTTGCCCGTCGAATTAGTATTTTTTCCTCTGAAATGAAAATAATTAGATAAAATGCACATGAAATAAGACAATGCATTTGTTTTTTCTTATTTTAAATGTAATTTGTCTTGTTCCATTGGCAAAGTATCTCACTTGCCTCCTCAATTCAATAAAAAAATGCACTTTTTTTAAGAAAAAAGACAATGTTTAATTTTTTTTTTTTTTTTTTTTGCAGTTTAGAGCATGTCAAGTCAAGTGGAGCCAGTTGTGGAAGAAAACCTATTAAAGGCATTAAAAGTAGGGACGCACTGAATCGAAAATTCTTGGCCGAAACCGAAAGCATTAAATCAGGAAACCAAGGCTGAAAACTGAAACAAAATATCATGTGAAATATTAAAGTCATAGCATTTTGGCTATGATGTGTACTAAGCCTATTAATAAAAAATAAATAAATAAACACTTTTTTTTTTCCACTCGAGGCAGTTTAATAAATTATTCAATAACAAAAGT